CCCCCCCCCCCCCCCCCCCCCAAGAGGCAGGAAGAATCTTGAGAAGGCAAGAGCTAGCTTCTCGGTATGATATTGCCTGGTGCTAGGGGGAGGTACGTCCTCCGACATTCGTCCTGCTGCCGGTACTGCTTTAGAACTTTGCCGGTTTGGGGGCGAGTTTGCTGATATGCCATTGGTTCATTTTGGGATCTTCGGGCGTACACCCTGCTGGGTCCTTTCCGTCGCGCTACCGATGCTGATGCTGATGCTGATGCTGTCATTCCTGCTGCTGATACTGCCACCACCGCTGGTGCTTGTGTTTCTGCTGCTGCTGCTGCTGCTGCTGCTGCTGCTGCTGCTACTCCTGTTCTCTCAGAGCGTGTCGATGATAGTCCACCAGAGCCTCTACGAAGAAAACCAAGTGTTCGAGGCCCTGGGGTCGGTGGCAAACCTCGGCATGGCGAACGTGCACCAAGTAAGACTGAAAAGGCTCGCCCGTACGGAGCATTCAATTCGCAGAACGAAACATCCACTGGAGGCCTACTTGCTCTAGCCTCTCGTGAGCTGAGCCGTCTGTAGTCATAACGATCTGCCGTTCGTCGTGTGGGTTTTTGCTGGCGTGTGTGCACATCAGGTGTATTTGTTGAGCTACTGTATGTGTATTTTTTCCGGTTTTCCGAGGGTAAACGCCTTCGGAAGGCGTTGATATTTGTATCTCTCCGTCGCTTACCCGCAAGCAGGGAGGACTGCCGTCCGAATTCTTTTTTCCCGGTGGGGGTTACTGTGATGAACGAAAAAAATAACACTTCGTTGCCCTAAGACAAACCACTGGCTGCTGATGTTTGTGACTGATTCTTGCTGCAACAAACACCACCTACAGATCCGCTACATATTGGCGACGGGCAGCGCGGAGGAGGCGGAGATTATGTCCTTCCCTTCTTTTCCTTTCGGCGCCGCTGCCGCTGGAACGGGTGCTGCAGCCGGTGCTCCCGCTGCCGCCGCTGCTGCTGCTGTTGTTGCTCCCACCGGTGATGACGGTGCTGCCGCTTCTGTAGCTGGTGATACTGCTGTTGTCAGCGGCGGTGAGGGCGACGGAGCCGCGGATCCTGAGAGGGAGCGGGACGCGAGGGAGTTGGAGCGCTTGCTGGACGTTGCCCGGGCGCTGGTGAAGCGGGGGTTGCTGATCTCGGTGAGTTTCTTTGCGTTTCGTTTCGTTGTGTTTCGCTGCGTTTCGTTGCGTTTCGTTGCGTTTCGTGCGGACCGGCCTATTTCGGAGTCCTTCGAAGGTATTGTAGTCTGTGCGGCGTAGCCCGGCCAAAGCAAAAGGGGCAGCGGGAAGATCTCTCAGCGCCTCTGCGGTCTCCGCCAAGGTGAATATGCACAACGCCAGAGCTGTGTCATCAGCAGTACTACAGTGGGACAAGGTCCCGCACTTTCCGGGACGCGTCTTGGGAGGGACCCCCCCCCCCCCCCCCCCCCCCCCCCCCCCCCCCCCCCCCCCCCNCCCCCCCCCCCCCCCCCCGCGTGCTTGAACGTGTGGCATATGGTGCTGTGTGTCAAGCGTGTGGTATCCAGCAAGGAGCGTTGAGCTGACAATACATTGCAGCGGATTTTGGTGTCAACAAGAGAGACAGAGACAGCGGCAGCACCAGCACCAGCACCAGCAGTATTGATGACAACACAACAGAAACATGGTGATGAAACGTGTGGACACCGACCAGGTTCGCACCCACGAGCTCCAGGAGCGGCTGAAGCGCTCCCAGGACGTGGTTAGGTGGCTGCACGCGGTGTCCACCTTGTCGGACGGCTGCTGCCGCCTGGTCTGCGAGATGCTCGACGTGCCCACGCTGGTCGCCCTCATGGAGGTGAGAGAGACCCCCGGCGTTTGGTCTTGTCATTTCGCATGGCCGCTCTCGGCTGTTCTCTGCTTCTTGAGAGCTGACGAGAAGTTTTGTTGTTGTGTCGACTTGAGGGGGAGGCCCCACTCAAGCTCAGGCGTTGCTGAGGGTGTTTAGAGTAGGGCGAGACGACCGATGGGATGATATTTCTTGCTTGGGGCTTCTCTGTCGAAGAGAAACGCGCGTGCTTCAGAGATTATCCTCCCTATGTGACCATGGCGTGAGTAATTTCCTTGAAGCTCAGACACCTGACGTGACACTGCCACGCTCATGGGGGTTGAGCCTTCGACTTGATGTTCTCTCTCCATTCACACCGACGAGCCTTGGCTTGACCTTTTTAGAGGGGTACTCGCATGAGGCTCGTGGTGGCGAGTCTTGACGAAAACTTAGCGCCTTGACGTATCACGCTCACGCAGTTGAGTTGGTTGTTGACTAGAGCTCAAGTTGCGATGCATCACTCACTCAAGAGGGAGATGTCCGTTCCTGGCTTCCTCGAACACCATTTTTCCCGTACTTCTACTGCCGCTCAGCGTCAGTATACTGGGTGTTCCCTTTCTAGCAGTGCTGGTTTGGCTGAGTCTATGTAGTTTCTCATCGCCTTGAAGCATTCGCGAATCATGGGTCTTGCGCGTACTCGGTGTGAGCGTGGTCACCGTGTGGCCGATTCTCACTTTGCCGTGCCTGCCGCGCTGTGTTGCACAATTCCATGCGCCCGCCGTTGGGCCTACCGTAAATGACACAATATAACACACCCCCTGGACCAATTGTCAAAGCTCGATTACTCCACGACGAAGACGATGCCTAAACGAAACGATGCAGTTTCGGAAAGCTCTTGACAAGACGGCATCAACGTCGCCGTTTTCGGTGCTGCGACTTTTTCTACTGTTGAGAAATCGAGATTTGAAAATCGGTCCAGGGGGTGTGTTATCTTGTGTCATTTACGGTACACTGCAACTGCCGTCGTCGTTGCAAATGCAAGTGTCCCCAACCCCGGCGTTTGCCGACAAGAAACATTGGACGAGCAGCGGGCCGTTCTCTTCGAAAAATATTTCGAGCACAGATTCCCGTAGCGTCAGCTGCAGAACCGCACGCGCCATGTGCTCCAAGAGTACCCTCTTGTACCCCAATCTGAATCACAACCATCGGCACGTCGATGGCCGGCGTGCGCGCACTTCTACGACGGCAGGCGGACACTCACCTGCCGAAGCCCCTGGCCTGTGCGCTGCACGAGCTTTACCTGGCGCTGATGGCGGACCAGCCTTTCAAGACCAGAATCGCGGCGGCCTACGTCCGCGCCCTCCCTGCGGTCACGGCCAACTACGCTCGAGGCGTCGGCACCGCGGAACACGCGTAAGTTTTTTTTTTTTTGTACCGAGGTCGTCGTCTTGGGTGCTTTGTTGTGCGAGGGGCGACGTGATGGGCTATCGTCTTCATGCATCTATGCGACAATCCTCACTTGTCAGATTGCATCTGTATCGTAACCGCACGGGCGTTGCTCTTTCGCCGACTCTCTCCTTCTCTCCTCCCCTCCCGCGCTCCGTTTGTTACGACCGGATCTGCCCGTGTGTCGTGCATCGCATCCTACGACGAATACCTCTTTCTCCCTCCCGTGTCTTATTGTCCTTGGACGGATGGGCGGGGGGGGGGCTTTTCCGGCCGAACGGTGGGGCTGGGGGTCAACAGGCTCTACACGTTGAGCGTACAGTTTTTGAACCGGTCGGCCTTCGTCAAGGAGCTCGTCGAGAAGCACCACCTCCTGCAGATTCTCGCCGGCTGTCTCCTCTCGACGCTCTCGCGCGCCTGCAAGCGGCAGCCTGCCAGGGGCGGCGCCCCCGGGAATCGAGGTCAGACTTGTTTCGCTTTTGTTGTTGCTTTTATCGTTATGGTCGTCGTCGTCGTCGTTGTTGTTGTTGTTGTTGTTGTTGTTGCTGCTGTTGCTGATGTTGTTGTTGATGATGATGATGTGATGATGTTGTTTTCGCCGTTGTTGATTATGCTGCTGTTCTCTGTGTTTTGCCATTGTCGTGGGATGGTGTCCCTCGTTGTTGTTTGGTGTCTGATATTCTCGGTGTTTTGTTTGTGGTAGTTGCCGTCGTGGGCGGCGGCGGCGGCGGCGGTGGCGGCGACGGTGGCACCGAAATTTTATTTTGGCAGCATCGCTTTTCACTTTGTGGGGGCTGTTGTCTTGGTTGTTTTTCTTGAGCGAGGGGTGGGGTGGTGCGATGGATACCTCTTGTCTACTAGTAGTGGACGCTCACCCCAATCTTTCACTACACAGACCCTCTCACCCCAGGATTCAACCTGGCACTCTTCACACACACAAGAATATACTGGTACGAAATGGATTCAATGTTGTGGAAATCTGCCCTTTGATGCAGCCTCCATTTCTTCATTTCCCCGCGTTGCTCTCTTTTGTATGTCTCACCCGGCGGCGCCATCGTTGTAACCACCCCCCAGGCTTCATGTCCCCCTATCCTCTTTGAAACCCGAAGCAATGGGTTGTTATCTCGTTGCGGACCCTCCCGCTCTCTCTTTGAAGGCCGCCAACCACCGATGATGCCCATGCCCTCCCACCCACCCACCCCCATTTTGCCCTCTCAACCTTCATCGCCGTCGCGCAGATGGCAAGATGGTGCTGAGCGCCTCCCACAGCGTGTTGGAGCACCGCCGGTACAACCCGATCGCGGCCGACCTCAAGTGCNGGCAAGATGGTGCTGAGCGCCTCCCACAGCGTGTTGGAGCACCGCCGGTACAACCCGATCGCGGCCGACCTCAAGTGCGTCTTGAACATCGAGGGAGTTCCGCAGCGTTTCCTGAGGGCGTGCTTCACGGAGTGGATCAAGGTTCTACTCATGGTACAGGTGCGATGTTTTTTTTTTTTTTTTTTGGGGGGGGGGTCTTGTCCAGACGACCAGACCAATCAATGACTGCCAACGCTCCTTACCTCAGACCGATGCCGGGGATTTCCAGCAAAGGGTGCAACTTACGTGTTCCGTACTTGAGTCGACATCGCGGACATCGCTTCCCCTTGTTTTTCCCCTTTGCTTCTTTTTCATTGTTTATATGTTTGGTAGAATTTTGGCTGTATAACATGCCTGGCGCTTTTTGGCTCTCCAAAGTTTGAAAAATTTGGTTGTGAATATTGGAAGGGCCGATGATGGGCGTATCCTCCCTCCGGGGGGAACAAAGAAACAAAAAAGTGGGCCCTGCACGATGAAGTTGGACTTGTCGTGTATGTTCCGCGGAGAAATCGTCTAATGCGCTGCTAAGCTGGTTGACTGACAACAAGATGCCACAGGCAGTCTGTGCGGCGAAAAAGTTGCAGGAAACCTCGTGACCCTCCCGCTCGACCTGGGGCCGCAATACGGTCGTGAGTACTAGTGTGTTCTCGCATGCGTTGCTTTTTTTTTCTGACACGACGCGCTGTGATGGCACAAACGCGCATGACGTTGCAGAAAATGGCCCCTCAAGTGAGACAGCAGCGGCTGCACGTGGAGCGCGAGCAGCGGGAGTGGATGTTCGCCTTCAACATCAACATCAGCCTCACCTCGCTTTTCGAGTGAGTTCAGATTATTGCTGCTGCTGCTGCTGCCGCTGCTGCTGTGCTTATTGTTGCTGGTGATGATGATGTTGCGATTGTATCTATGAGATTTTTTTCTTCTTCTCTGCCGTTGGTTACATCACTTGTAGACAGCTTTTCTTGTGTATCGTCCACATGCAAACGCTCACGCCCTCACGTTTGGAGCACATTCGTCGAGCGAAATGAAAGCGTGTTGTTGATGGACGGAGGTGCGCGCCACGCATGCATAGCGCAGAAAGTGCACTCGTCTGCTCTTGTTCCAGTAATTTGTGCGGGCGACCCGGCACGCGCTGTCCGCGGTGTCCGCTGATTCCCGTCAGGTGTATGCTGGGCTGGCTCCGAGAACCCTTGAAAGACACCTCCATCCCGGCGGGCTTCTTCTCCTCCAAGGCGACGACAACGACGACGACGACGACCCCCGACACCACCACCGGCGCTGCTGCGACCACTGTCAGTGCGGCGACCTCGTCGCCAGTATCTTCGGGAGAAGACGGAGGAGCCGCGGGGGCTGCCGCGACGGCTGCGCCGGCGCCACTGGCCCTCTTCCAGGTGACCTTCGGCGCGCTGGTGGCCTCCTACGAAGCTAGCAGAGAGAGGCGGCAGCGGCAGCAGCAGCAGCAGCAGCAGCCGTCTGAGCGGCCTTGGCCTTGGTCGCCGCAGCTGACGTCTCCCGCCGCCGCCGCCGCCGCCGTTGAGGAGGTCGCGTCAGGGTGGGAGAGCGTGGGTGCTGCAGGGAGCGGTGCCGTCGAAGCACAGCCGCTGCCGTCGCCAGCACCGGCGGGGGTGGGGGGGGGTCGACCCAGCCCCGATCAGCTTGCGTCGCCCCCGCCGCCGCCGGCTAGGGCGGGCAGAGAGGTTGTGTCGTGGTGGGCCGACATCATGGAGGAGGAGCGCATATTCACCGCCGCCGCCGCCTCCGCCTCCGAAGGCGAAGAGAAAGACGGAGCGGAGGAAGAGCCATGGCAGCCCTGGTCGGGGTCAGGGGCGAATGCTACTATGTGGGAATTTCTCAACGAGGCCAACAACGCCGCGGCGGCGGCGGCGGCGGCGACGGCAGGGACGCCACCACCGCCCGGGGGGGCGAGTGGTAACAGCCACCGCGGCGCCGCTTCCCTGTGGTCGGCGTTAGCCACTGCTACTGTTGATGGCAGGAGGGCGGCGTGGGAGCACGAGGAGCTGCCCACGTTCCCGGGGGGGGTCCTACGGGTACGACCGCCGGCGGCCGGGAGATCTTTTCACATCATCCTGCATCGTTTCTTCGCCGCCATGGTGAGCGGAGGGTGGGGTACTCATGGCGGTGAGCATGCCGTAGTTGTTAGACCATCAACAACCTCGCATCCCCTACAAAGTCGGGACGGAGCACGCCGGGTTCTGACCGGACCAGGCTCTCACATCACCAAGCGGGTGGGGATAGAAGAAGGTGGATTGATACTCGCCGCTGCTGTGACCGCGGGGTTGGTCGTTCGTAGCGTAGTGATACCGTAGAGGCCGATAAGTGCGCCCAAACTCAACATCCGGTTAGGCGGACGGACCAAGCCCGATGAATCTCGTAAAGTGTTCCTCGAGTTCATCCTGACGAGGAAGGAAAAAATGTTTTATTTTTTTCAAGCCTTGGTGCCGTTGCCCGTTAGTTCATGTCTCATTCCGTGTCTGTGTCTGTCTGTGTGTCTTGTTTGATAGGTGAGAGAGGCGTGCAACTGCGAGGAACGAGGCAGTGACCTGCGCCAGCTCTGCGGCTTCGTCGGCGGCTATCCCGAGGTAAAAAACCGAGTTCGTTCAGCGCGCTTGTAGCACCGCGATGGCAAGATTGCGGGGCCTTGTTTGTCCTTGAAGTGAAACAAGCCAGCCGGGTGATGGACTGCCAACAGGCTGGTGGACTCGTCTCGCCGTCTAGTTTTACCTCCTTCGTGCGTTCTCGCTGGCGCGCTTTCTTAAGCACACCAACGAGATATCACTTCGTTGTTGATTTGAAAAGTTCGTCGTGCTGCACGACGACGGATCGACAAGAACTCGATCGATTTCGAAACCTGGGTTGATCGATTAGCAAAGCAATCGAATGGTTTCTCTAGATCATTTTCTTCCTTGATGCTTTCTGTTGTTGTCGGTTAGCGAAGCAGTTGACGCTTCTCTCGATTATTCTGTACTTTTTTTTATGCTTGTTGTCTTTTGTTGTCTTGGATGGACGGACCGTCGTTGGGTTGGGCCGATGCGAAGGTGGTGACGGACGTGGCCGACACAGCACTTGACGTGCTTTCCTTTGCGGCGGAGGTGAGGGCGGGGCTGTGGAGGAAGAACGGCCAGTCCATGAACGACCAGGTGAGAAAAGGGGCGAGGAGAAGTAAACTTTTTTGAAGCGTTGCGTTGTGTGCTCTGTTGTAAGTAATTTTGCGGCAGCGACCTCGTTAACCGGCTGGCCAAATGAAAGAGGTGTTGGTCTTTTGAGCGGGACGGGGTAGACGGAAACATCTTCCCGGTCAGCGCCCCCCCACGACAGGGTTTGGAGCCGAGCCGATATGCTTCTGTGTGTTTTGTGTCTGTGCCTCTTTTGGTTAGCATCGAGCGCGCAAACCGGCTGTCGAACGAAGAGAAGAGACGCCAGGCTTGTCGCGGGACCATTCGCACGAATGCGTTTTTTGCGGGTAGGCGGACTCCCCCGGCACGGGGGGGTATGTATGCAGATTGCGTGTGCGCCTTGTGGTCGAGCATCGGGATTAGCAAAGAGTAAGGATGCGAGAAGGAGACAATGAACCATGGGGGGCATACTACGATATGCCTACAACCATGGACAGAGGTTAATATTCGAAAGTTGTTGTTCCCGTTTTTCCCTGTTGCCTTTCGGTCTATTGCGCATTTTTTTTTTGCGGGTGCAGGTGCTGAACTACGCGGAGCCGAGCTTCTGCAAGATTTTCCGCGACCTAGACCTTACGGCGGTGCAGTTCGCGGCACTGTCCTGCGGCGCTTCGCAGCTGGTTAACCACGTTCTCCACAGGTGAACATGGTACGGTAGTCGACTCCTTGCGATCTGCGATACTGGGTTCGCGCTTCGGCGAGTGGTCGGCGTTTTTTCACAGATGGCTGAACATGACGGCGTCCCATGAGTTGGACCGGTCCGTATATTGCATAGTATTGAGTATAGATTGGAAGGATAATTTAGGGGAAACAAGGCAACGTTGACGACGACAACGACAACAGCATTAGAGTGTCTTGTTTCGTTTTTTTTTTGTTTGCTCGTGAAGGTCCTCGCCCGTCCTTTTCTTATGCCCACCCACCCCCGCCCCCCCTCCCTCTCCCCCCCGAAGGTTCCAATGCTTTTTCTTTTGGATGTTGAACGAGTGCGACGCGACCACGACCGCCCAGACTTCTGCGGCGGGGGAGTCTGCCAAAGGGCGAGCTGCGGCGGCGGCCGCAGCCGCGACATCACTACTAGAACGCATGGGGGGGGGGGAAGGAGGCGCAGGAGCGGCGACGAAGGCGAGGACTAGCAATCCCCCGGTCCCGCCGACGAATATTTTTTCCGACTCTTCGGCCTCCCACGGCGGGGGCGGCGGGGGCGGCGGGGGCGGCGGGTACGCGGGGCCGGACAAGGAGCGGCAGCGGCGCGCGCGACGTCTGCGGCGTAGGTCAACGTTAGACCCTGATCAGGTACACGAAGACGTTGCCATTTTCCCAGAGGAGGCATCGTAAGGGTTAGGGCTAGGGTTATGGGGTGTGTAATGCTTCGTACTTACATGCATCCGTGCGACCTGCGTTTTTTTGTATTTTACATTCCGGTGAGTAGCTGGCTTGCGTCCTGCCTTCCAGCACGACACCAGGAGTCGGCTGTTTCGTGGGGTCGCCGGTCGTTTTTCAGACCTGAGCTGGCTGCCCGGTAGCGTCGTTGACCCGGAGGTCTTGTCGGTGGTGGCGGTTAGGGAGGAGGCGACAACCAAGGACGATGGCGGCCCGTTTTGTTTTCCGTCACGGAATGCTGTCGGTCCTGTTGTCCGGGAACACTCACTGTATTTCCCTCGGCGGTTGCGTGACATTCCTCTCCTGTCCTTCCTCTCGTTTGTGGTTTGTGTCGAAGTGGTTCTCTTGCTCCCCTCTGGAGAACCACTTGCTCTGTATATTGGCGTTGTGTGTATGTATGCGTCCCATCTGTGAGATGTCGTTCGTTCCTCAGCGTTGACCACACAAGCGTGCCGTGCCTGCATTTCGGTGTCCCCCCCTCCTCCCCCGCGCATCGACTTTGATGCCCGCGTGCATTTGATACGACGACGACGATCAATGCAGCAACTGGCGTTGGGCGAAGAGTGCCTGATGCTGCTGATCCTTCTCGTCACGGAGATGCCGATGGTCCCCGATCCCCTCACACCCGAGCCGGGCGTCGACAGCGGCGACGGCAGCGGCACCGGAGTAGGTGCCCGCGGTGGCGGCTCGCCGGAGGCGGAGGGGAAGGGGATGGCCGGCGGCGGCAGGATGGCGAGGCAGTTGCGGCGGGAGCTCGTCCACCGCCTGGCGTCCGCGCCGTGCACCCACAGCGAGCTGCAAGACACGTGCTACGCCTCGTCTCCCAACGAAACCCTAGAAGCGGAGGTGATTTTTTTTTTATTTTGGGGGGGGGGGCGTACTCTTATGTTCTGCATGCCTTAGCGGTTAGACCATTGACCACGCGTCCTCGAGGGGACGGAGCACTGTTCCCACAGGACCGATCACCGATGGCCAATCGTTCCTTTCTACTTTGCCAAAGGTGGCTCAAAAATGTTGTCCCTAGTCTGCCTATCCTAACGATATCCCTTCCCACCTTTTCAACCCACCTCCTATGCCCCAGATCAGCTACCGTCCTTTTCTCTCTATTCCATGCCTCAAGCATCTCCCTGCACGTCCTACCTTTTTTTCCCAGCTGAGTCACGTACACTTGCCTCTCGTTCTTGTACAACGGACGTTCCGCGACTACATGAACACGGTATTCGCATTCGAAGCCGCAATCACGTTTGAACTCGTCGACTTCGTCGTCTACCGTCCTATGTCTTCGTCGACGTTCTCGAAGGCCTATGTCCCCGGTCCTGAATTTGACCTTAAGCTTTGTTCCTGCATCCATTGGTCCATGTAGGTAGTCCTTGAACCCTATTCCTTCCTTCAACATTACGTACACTTCCAGACCCTCCTCATCCTTGGATTCTTTCCTTATATTCCGTTCTTCTCCCTCGGCACAAGCAACAGATATCTTCTCCTTGAACCCCTGTAGACCCTCCGT